CGCTGTTGCTCGGTCTGGAGCATGGCGGATGCGATGGCCATCTCGACCTCTCTCACCTGGAGCAGGAGACTCTCACCATCCTTTCTTTTAAAGACCTTAACGCTCACCCTGAGCAGCTCAGGGCGGGGGAAGTCATCCGTTACTGGCGGTGGCTTCATAGACGCAAATGAAGCTAACATCTTCTGCTGCAGGTGCTCTAGCAGCACTTTTTCGTAATTTGAAACGCTACTAGACGCGCACCGATCGCCTCGGGGTCTTGCGTAGCAAGGTGTTGCACGCCCTCAGAGCCCAGTAAGGACCTCGGTCTCTCAAACCCGTCCTGCATGCCCTGGGGTAAAGAGAAATATAGATCTATCCTCACAGAGGATCGGTCGAAGCGACTCAGGTGCAGATTGACTACGAATGCTACTAAGTGCAGCTGGGCTGCCGTAGCTTTGCGCTTTGAGGAAACGTAAGTTAGGCCACCGACCGTTCGTTCTATACTCAGAGCAAAAACGCGTTTAGCGGATCGGAATCCGCTTACTCCAAGAGTAATTATAGCCTTCACCCAAGACTAATAAACTCTTCGGTTTAAATTTAAACTGACTTTATTTATTGTTATCTGCGACAGAGCCGCCTTTGTTAAATGCATAGATTTTCCTAAATATGTATAGAAAAATCTAAATAGATGTATAACTACTGGCTATCCAGCCCCAAACCGTATTTTTGTTTGGATGTGGTCACACCATGCCCATCTGGTGTGACACATACCCCTATTACCAGGATATGTGTAACCCCGTTACAGGAACGCGCACCCTCAGAGCTCGTCGAGCGGGCCTGGACCAATAGTTTTCAGCTGTGCTGAGAAGGAAGAGAGAGAGAGATCCGAACTGCTGAGCAGCGTGTAAACACCCGACGTCGTTTCATTTGAGAAGACAACTGTTACCCTCGGACTGGGAGTCTCTTGCGCAAGGCGCGTAAAGGTTCGTCGAACCGACGTCCTGCTTCTAACATTATGGTTTGACGCTGGAAAACGAGGACACCCAGTAGGCGGCCTACTAGGAGACAACTGAGTTCTGTTGAGTCTCAAAGACGTAGAAGGCAGCAGGGTCTAGCTTTGAAGAACTTCGTGCTCTTGAACACGGAACGTGTGTGCAAGCCGGGCTTGCTGGACGCTAAAGCGACCGTGAAGGGCTTTGAGAAGCCATGAAAAACCCTGATCAATTCTGGTTAGTCGGGCAATTATGCTCGACGCTCCACGATGGAAGTCAGCTATTTGCTGAGGCACGGAGGGTGAGGTTAGGAGACACCGTCACTGCTGGCTTAGCGACGGGGACTTGTGTAAGTGTGCCGATGATCCCTGTGGACCTCGGTGTCCACTTTGTTGACTTTGATAGCGTGGAACGCTGCTTGATCTTAGACATAGATTCAAGGCATGACCTTATCCTTGTGATGGTCTGGTTCGAACACAATGAGCCATGAATTGATTGGAGGTCGAATACTTTGGGCGCAACGTGCACGTCTCCTAGTGGAGCTTTGATGAGTAATGAATCCAACTCTGCTAGAAAGCAAAACGCTATTGGCGTGGGCACTCTACTGGGACGGCCAATGTACTGGATATCGGTGTAACCTAATTGTCAAACACCAAAGGTGTTTTGGACAAGCGGCCCGAGCGTGGCTCGCGGGCTGAACGTGGAGTGGCACGTAACCCACTGAGCACTACTCACATAACGAAGCAGTTGCTGCGTGCCAAAAATGGCATGGTCGGACGATGTCCGAGGCATCGAGGGCGAGGCCTCAGTGATGCGTGTGATAAGGCACGTAATACACTGAGCACCACTCACGTTTTGAAGCAGTTGCTGCATGCCAAGTGTGTCAAGGCCGGACAAGGTCTGAGGCATCCTAAGCAAGACCCTTTTGATGCGCGTGGAGTGATACGTATTCCACTGGACGAAGACTGTAGAAATAGCAGCTCTTCGTCGGATTTTGTTGATAGCATCAGGGCTTCAATGGAGCTGGGAGAGGGGGAAATTGGACGACGCCGAGTGGGTGTTCCCACCGGTCTCGATGAGACGTAAAACTTCTATAGAGAGGAGACGGCGAAGCCGTATAATCTGCAAGACGCAGGGCGTCGACCCTATCCCAGGAATGTCTACCGTAGACGAAATGCACAGCTTTATATCCTTGTCAACGGTATGACTTGGGAGGAAGACGGCGACGTCATCCTCGAGACTATTCCCGCCGTGGATGCTTCTCTTAACCCAAACAGGACGTCCTTCTACAAGTTTGGCGGCGCCTCAGAGGCTGGCAAATTAGCCGAGGGGTGCGTCATGAGATTGACCTGGTTCCGAAAACATATGGCGGAATATTATGGAATAACCCCCCTCTTTCTAGTGTGCTTCATTAAGAAGTGTGGCCTTCGAGCGGATCCCGCTAAGGTTAAGGCCATTGTGAACTGGCCGGTTCCAACGAACCAAAAGGACTTGAGCAAGTGGCTTGGCCTTGCCAACTACTTGAACAATTATAGCGCAGATTTTGCGGAAATGGCACGGCCATTGTCGAACCTCCTTAAGAAATGGTGTTGGAACACCGAGCATCGGGAGGCTTTTGATATGGCCATAGTCAGCCTCCTTCATGAGCCAATACTGGCGTTGCCAGCCCCCGATCGTCCTTTTAGTGCCGTCTATGACGCTTCGGACTTTGCCATCGGCTGTGCACTGCCGCAAGCTGGAGCCGAGGGGTGCGATCGGGTGCTCGCGTGTGAATCTCGCCAGCTTAAGGCTGCGGAGAGGAACTGCCCAGTCCACAACGATGAATTGCTTGCGATGAAGTATGCACCTGTCAAGTTCAGGGTGCACCTGCTTGGCTAAAGCCGTTTGCGATCTACACTGATCATGCGTCACTACGCACTGCGTCTCAGTCGCCTCAGCTCTCACACAGGATTGCCAGGTGGCTCTCAATCTTTGAAGAATATAACTTCGAGGGGAAGTATAAGCCAGGAAAGCAGAAGGCTTTGGCTGATGCATTGTCACGCAGACTGGACTATGAGCTTGTTTATGGCACGACGGTGACGTCATCAGTGACAGACTTGATCCCCGCCGCATAGGCGGCTTTACCGCAAATAAAACCGAAAAAATAGTTTAATATTTTAAAAGGCATATTTTTCGCCTTGGGTTAAGGCTGTAACTACTATTGGAGTAAGTGGATTGCGATCGGCTACACTCGTACTGGTTTTAAGTGTAAATCCAAGATCACCGACCTTAACCAAGCTCTCTCTAAGCGAAAGACCTACGGCAGCCCCGCTGCATGTAGAGGTTTGGCTACATTTTCCGTGACTGAACTGACATCGGCTATGCCACCTGCCAATGAGTGCATTAAACGCGTAATTACACGTATGCACAACGCTGTGCTGGCTGATGCTGACGATGTATGCGAGGAAGACCAGCTGCTTTGACCGTGTAACATGTACCGCTTAAACACTGTGAATAAGTACTAAATCGTGTGAAACAAAACTTTAAAGCTTACATTCCCTTCATCGTCGTGTTATCTTTAGCCAGTCAGATTGCGAACCGTGAAGGTGTAAAGTTTACGGAGGCGCTTCGGAATTAAA